TTCATCTTTTTTATTAAATTTATCTCTCATGTATTTAGTATTTGCTTTTGAATATCTTTGACTACATTGAGATAAACCACCTCTGATTCCATTTTCAAACATCAACATTTGATCAACATCTGTTAATAAATCTAATTTTACGTTTGTCATTCTTAACATACAATCCCATGCAAATCCTGGTGTTGTCTAATACCACATAGGATCTAATTTATAATTGTTTAAATAAATATCTCTAAAATTTTCTATTATATCTACTGATGATAAAACATCAATCTTATTATATAAACTATTGAATTCACGCATATTTTTTATATTAAACACTTTCCAAATTTTCTGTGAGTTTTCTAATTCCTCTTTAGTTATATTTTTATTAGTGAGTGAACTATAAAATTTTTCAATAGGAGGTAAACATGTTTCATTAAATTTTTCTTCACAATCCATATACTCATAGGGATAAGCTAACTTTCTAGTAACTTAATCTAAATTTTCTTCGGGAAAATATTTACTAAGTTCTTTAAATTTATTTTTGAATCATTTCTTAAATTATTTGTTAACTTTTCTAAAGAACTAGGTAAAAATTTGAATGAATCAATAAATCTTAATTCTGTATATATAACTATGTCTTTACCTTTCCTATTTACTTCACGTGACATCATTTTTGAAAAAGAAATATATTTTTCCACATTATTTGGGATTAATTTTATTTTTTCATTATCATTCCCAAATACTTTTATAAATAGATGCGCATCATAACCTGAAAGATTATGAAAAATAATTGGAATAAAACGTGGATTTTGATAATTAAGATTACAGATAGAATGTGCTGCTCCTCAATATTCTCCTTTTAAGTGGTCATGATCCCGAACTTTTTGCATCTTTTTATTTTTATTTTCTACTTCGTTTTTAAGTTTATCTTCATAAAATTTTAATTTTTTTTTAATATATTTAATAGGGTCATTAATTTTTTTAAGTTTATCTTCATACAATTTTAGTTTTTTAACACCACCAGTCTTTTTATAATATTTAATAGAGTCTTTAATTATTTTAAGTTTATCTTCATAATATTTAATTTTTTTAACATCAGTATTTTTATAATATTTAATATTGTCTTTAATTATTTTATGTTCATCTTCATACAATTTAAAATTTTTAACATCATCAGTATTTTTATAATATTCAATATTGTCTTTAATTATTTTAAGTTCATCTTCATACAATTTAAAATTTTTAACATCAGTATTTTTATAATATTCAATAGTGTCTTTACTTATTTTAATTTTTTTTCTCTAACAGTGGAGGTAAATCAGATAAATATCTTTCACAAATATGACATTTATCAGATTTATTATAATAATTATTTAATTGTTCTGCATTCAATGATTCCATAGGAACTATTTTATCATATAATTCAGAAATACTAATTTCTTCATTTTTCATACATTCATAAAATACTTGAGCTACGTTTGGACCAGAATATGTTACAGGAGGTTTATAATCACCATTACTATATTTAATATAATAACAAAAATTATTAGGTATATGTTTCTGATAACAATTTGTAAAAGACTCTCTATCATTTGGTTTACATGTGTAGATTGGTTGAAATGTAGCTTCAAAGTCAGCCATAACTATAAAAGGGACTCGTAATGAATGATTATAATTTTGAAATTCTAAAGTTTTATCATAGGGTTCTGGTAGAATTATTTTAGCAGCTTTATTATTAGTACAATAATGTTTATGATCATTTAACATATTTTCTGTACCAAAACTATTTAAGATTTTTATCTTTTATGACCATCTTTTGTAAATTGACTTCTTACTAGTTTCCATAAATCTTTAATCCAACAATAATGTCCTTTATTCATATTGACCTCATCATCCACTGATAAATATAATAAATCTATATGATTAGTTTTTTCGATTTTACTTATTTCTAAAGGTACAATTACTTTTTTTATCTAAACAATAAATATTAATAGAAATATCTTTTGTTCTTTTAACAAATTTCGGAACGTCTGTGGTTTTTATTGGAAATTCAATATCCTTTAGTTCATTCTTAAATTCATTTTCCCATTTTTTATATTTAGTTACTCTATCTACATGATCTTCAGCAGGATGTAAAGCAGAGAGTATTGCCCAAAGAAAACATTTATCATCTTCATTTTTAACATTTATAATAGCTTTTTTATCTCCAATATGTTTAGGTAATGTAATATATGAAGAACCCCTAAAAGGAACATATTTATTTATATTTATTCCCAAACTTAAAAGTTGATGAAGTCTCCATTGAGAACCTCTCATTATAAAATCTTCTTCTTCTTGTACAATTTTAATTTTTACTTCTGTATAAAAATCATTTAAGTTAGAATTTTTTGTTAACTTTTTATTTTGTGTTTTAAAATTGTTTTCCTCATATTCCATATTTTCTTCATTATTACCTCTCTTATATATAGCAAATAACCAAATATTAACTTTTAAATTTGTTTTTTTCAATTCATGTTTAAGTCGTCCTATTACTGGATTATCTAAACGATTTAAAAATGTTTGTATAAATTTAATCCCCATATTATTTTTAATAATATAAGTTTTTAATCTATTTTGAAATGCTGTTTCTTCATTTTTTTAAATAGGTCGAATAGTGTTGTTTTTTTCAAAAATGTCTTCACTAAAATTGAAAACTCTATGTGGTTTGGGTATTATCTCTCTTGTTATTCTTGGTCTTATACCATTGTTTTGATGTCGAATAGATTGCACATGTTTAGACCAACTGTTGTATTTAACTGTTAGCTTACAAATATCACAAGTTTTATCTATTTTTGGTATTCTCTCTTGTCTTGTTCTTACATTTGTTGTTGTTGTACCTCTGTATGTTCGTCTAAATCGAGGTATAATTGTTTGATCTGGATCATTGTTTTGATGACGAATAGATTTCAAATGTCTAGACCAATTTTTGTAACTAACTGTTAAGTTACATTTATCACAAGTTTTGCTATCCATTTTATTATTGTTAAAATTCTTTTTAACTAAAGGTTCAATTTTATTTATTCCTTCCATTTATTATAGAGAATATTTTTTTTTTTTTACATTCAATTTTTTAATAAAAATAATTTTTATTAAAAATAATATTTAAATAATATTAAGATCCCATACTAAATTCACACATTTTAATATTCCCTAAATCTTGAACAATCTCAATATTGTCTCGATAATAGTGATGATAATCACTTGTTGCAATAATTTGCTCATTAGCTATTTTACAAAGTTCTAACCAAGTTGGTGAATGTAATAGTTTAGAAATATAAGGATTTCCATTTCCAAAATCAACATCTCCTTGACTAATAATAAAAATATTTCCTTCAATTGGAATTTTATTTAGATTATATTTAATAATCTCAGAATTTTCATAGTATTCAAAAGCACAAAATTTCACATAACATTTATTTTTTTGTATACTTTTTTTTATTTCATTTCGCATTAATTTCAAAAAATTAAAAATTTTTAGTCTAGTCTATATTGATTAATTGGTACACCATTATATTTTGTATTAACTCTACAAGGTAAAATTGTTTGATCTATATCATTTTTTTGATGACGAATAGATTTTAAATGAGAAGCCCAATTTTTGGAACACATTGTTAAATTACATTTATCACAAGTTTTAGCAGGGTATATTTTTTTATTTAATACATCCATTTTATTATTAATATCAATATCTTTAACTAAAGATTCAATTTTATTTAATCTTTCCATTCTTTATTATAGAAAATATTATTATTTTTTTACATTCATTTTTTAATAAAAATAACTTTTATTTAAAATTCTATTTAAATAATATTAAAGATTTTAGGTTATAGTGAAAATATAAAAACTTTAAAAAAATTTATAAAAAAATAATATTCCGGATAAATATAAGAAAGAAAGGGTTGGTTGGACCCATCAACCCCTCATCTCTTACTAAAAAAACAAAGAAATATTTATTTTAGAAGGAGGTTTATATAGATATCACTTCCTTTAACTTAGGTCATATTATTAAAATTTTGTTTTTTGTAACTCTTGGTTATAAAAACTCCCTATAATCTCTTCATTGTTTTAATCTATAATTTTATAGGTAATAGGATTTGTGTTTAACTTCATTAACTATAAATATTTCTTTTGTCCAATTATTAATAAATTTATTACCAAATGTTTTTTTAGAAGCTTCTAATATTTTGGAAATTTTTGGTTTAGGTGTGTTTTTTATAGAATATAATTTGTGAAAAACAACATCTTTGTTAGATTTATTTACTTCACAAGGTCTCATACCAATAGATTGATGTATGTTAGGGTGGTCCTTAATTTTAAACTTTCAAACTTTTTATTGAGCACCCCCAAATTTTGTTCATTACTATAAGAAAATAATTTAGGTTAAATTTGGTGATGATACCTGACCCCCTTCACGTGCCGCAAAAGGGTTGAAAAATGACTAACGAGGGTAGTTTTCCTGTTTTTTGAATTTAAACCAAAAACTATAAAATCCACAAAAAAATACATAGAACCTTAATTGTAGAACATTAAATTACCTATAAAAAATATCTTTATAAAATTTCTTGTCAATCCTTTATTTTTCGAGAATTTGTTAAATAACCAAATTTTATATATATTTCGAAAATTTGATTTTTTTATGGTTATTCTAATATATTTGACGTATGGTTCAATTTACGACGAAGTCTTTTATATAAAAAATGTTCAAAGTATAATTTTCTGAAATAATGTTATAAGTAAAGTTTGTATTAGACCATTAACTTTGTTTTTACAGTAGGATTCGTGAAATATTTTATTAAACAACTCTTCTACCACTACGAAGAACCAAATACAACATAATTATTTTATTCATAAGAAAAAGATTACTTTATAATAAAGTTTGATAAGTCAAACAAATTATTTTATACTTAAATATTTATTGTATAATAGTTAAATATTATTAAGGTGAGTATTTGGAGATTAAATTAATTATTGAATTATTAGGTATAGGGCGTTTTCAACTTTTCTCTGCTATGTCCTGGGTATTTACGACGATAATCTTGCACAGTCTGAAATTATATAAAATATAATTAAAATATTAATCATATATTTAGGCACAATTTGTTATGACTATAGTAATACTTCCTACTAATACTTATTACTTATATAAACTACTAACTTTCAATAAAAATTGTTTTTGGTCTTCATATTTTGTAATTTTTTCATTAAATTCTTCCATCAGTTTCACTCCACGTTCAGCTGTATCATTTACAACCTTAAGTGACCTAATTATTTGTTGACCTTGGATGTAGTCATTTTGTGTGTTCCATTCAGATGGATCTATTTTTAAGAAGTTAGTAGATAAACCAAATCTCTTAAACATCATCATCGATTTAGCCAAGAGTAATGATGTTGGGAGCTCATTATTTACAAAATTAGAAACTTCTTCTGATTTAAGGTAAAATTTTTTGTACTTCTTTTCTTCTTCTTTGTCTTCTTCCAATATTTTTTGAACCATATTACGTTTTTGTTTTACATTAATTCTGTCATCAAATAAACTGAAAGCTGCGCACTCTTCATTAAGATACCATAAATGGTTTAAAAAGTTATTTAAAGCTATTTCTGCAATAATTTTATCGTCCTTTTTATAAGAATTAAGTTTTCTTATAAATATTATATCATTAAGTGGTGCTTGCACTGCATCTGGAGCAGTGAACCACGATTCCGCATAGCATTTTACAATAAAACAGCAAATGGTTTGTAAGGCTTTTTTATCTCCTACACTTAATTTAAATTGCTTCTGAAATAATATAATTTTTAGGCAATATATTCCTTTTGCCATCCATCTGGCCAAATGATAGGGTCCTGGCTGCCGAAATTTGATACCACCTGGAGGAACGTCTCCTAAAAATATGACTATTAATTCAAGGAATTCTTTATAATCGTCCCGAGGAAAATCGTCTCTAAGTTTTTCATGAGCAAATATTAATATTTGTTGCCTTACGTCATTGAGAACATTACTGGTCTTAACATCCATCGACCAAATTGAAAACTGTGTTAAATCAATTGTTTTCCATTGATTTTTAAATCTTTTAAACAATGGGATATCAGGGCCTGAAGATAGAGAAAACTTAGATCCAACGAATACACTTTGGAGAATAATTTCAAAAACATGATGTCTACAAGCCAAGTATAAAATATTACGTCCAAGTTTATGTTCTAAAAGAACACAAGCACCATTTAAACGTCCAGTATTAGATGCCGTTGTATCAAATACAAATGCTTGTACACTATCAAGAAGTAACCAATCTTCAAGAGTATCGTACACAGCAGATGAAAATTCATAACCGGTTCCAGCAGAAAGTTCGGGACCCAAGAGTTGTTCAGTATTTGGAGCTGTTGCAATAATAGGAAGTCATCAGCTTGTGTTTACCAGTTATATCGAGAAGAATTTTGAATCCAGTGTATAGTTATAATTTTAAGGGGCCTGCTCGCGATTTTTCAAATTTTCCGCAATTCTATAAAATTTGAAAATTAAATTTTATATTTTAGTTTTCACCTCAATTATAAGACTTTTCCACTAATCTACTACCCAATACTATTTAGGGGGGTTGATAGGGTGTATTATATCGGTCAAAACACAGTTTACAGGGAAAAACCTCACACCGTCGTAGATTGGTCGATTTCGTAATTTTTTTTTGTTAGATAGAGGATTTTTTACAGGCGCATGGACTTCGATTTTTGATTACGTCCTAAAAAAAAAAAAATCAAAAAATTTTTGATTAATTCAACTTTACAAGATTAGAAAATATGTAAATCCAAGTTAAGAAGTTTCTCTATCTAACAAAAAAAAAATTACGGAATCGACCAACTCGAGGCGTGAGAGTTTTCCTGAAGGCATGTTTGAGCAAAAACAGAGTCCATGCAGCCCTTAAATTTAAATCAAAAAATTTTGTTTATTCTAACAGCATTAACTCACGAAAACTTGACGAATGCCGAATTGAAGTTCGATTTATGACAAAATCTAATGGGATTTAGAGAAGTTGCTTCCACGCAGCTGTTAATAAATGACAGCATCTCGATCGCGAGCTACATTTATCAGTAAAAGCAGAAAGTCGAGGTGTCAATATTTCTAATCGTGCCCTTTTCATTTGCATTGTACACGGGATTGGAGAACTAGAACTTTCGGTCTCTGTAACAGAATCAATAGATTCTACTTCTTCCGAACTAAATGTAGAATTCAATTCAACTGAAATCAAAAATAAAACAATAAGTATATTATTAATTATATTAAATAAATTATTAAATAAATATAATTTAACATACCTTCTTCAGATTTTGACGAACACGGCTTTTCTTGTACTTCGATGTTTTTTTTTACACGATTATGTTTTCGTTTTTCAATTCCGGCTAATTTTACATCCGTACCAAGCATACACCCAGGGCGGCCTGACGCGGACTTGTATTGAGCCGCGTGGGTAATGATATGCTGGTGGTGATCGACGGTGAGCAGTCGAGTCGGAAAAAACAAACAAGCGAAGTACAACAATGCGAAAGAAAAAAAAACAAATAACGCACTGATAAGTGATGGTTGTGACTTTTTATTGGTGTAGTAATCAATGTCAATATTCAATATAATCTAATACACTAAAAGAAATATCGAATCCGCGAGTTCGTGTAAAGACGACGGCGGTCAGTGTCGGTCGGAGTCGTGAGGACAAGAGAGCGCGCCTTGGCAATCCTGTTCGCTGGACGGCCGGCTGACGGTTCCAGGCGCGCGTGTCGCGCGCCGGCGTCGTCCGTCGTCGGTTGGCGGTTTGATTGAGAAGCCGCGGCGCGGCTTCCGCGCAAAGGCTGTTTGAATTCAAACAGATTTTGCGCGGGACCGCGTCATACTCCCCCCCCAAACCGCCAACGGCGTTGGTTTTCCGGCCGTTACCGGCGGTCTGCGTTGTCATGAGTGGTGGGTGGTTGTGGTGGGTCAGTGGGTGGATGGTGGTTATGGTAGACACCTGTCCGAAGGTACGTTTTCCGGCTGTGTTCAGCGGACGTAGCCCTGGCGGTGTCTAATCGCGTTTCAGCGATGTGGGGGGCTGTAGTACAGTAGACTGACGTCCATGTCCTCTTGGTCAGCCAGGTGTGTGCCCGTACCTCCTAACAGCTGTGCCTCCTCCTCGTGGGATATTTCCATATCCTCGGGTTGAGGGGTGGCAGCCGCTAGTTGATCCGTGGCTCCGGTCGCTCCGGAAGTGTGTGTCACTTCCGGTACCGTGACCACGGTGAGGTGCGGGGACGCTGGCCCTGGCTGTGACAGGACCGT